TTGCCAAGGTTGAGAAACACTGTCCTAACCACTGCTGGGGAATTCTGGGAGTTGAAGTCTGGACATCTTCAAGTTGCCAAGGTTGAGAAACACTGTCCTAACCACTGCTGGGGAATTCTGGGAGTTGAAGTCTGGACATCTTCAAGTTGCCAAGGTTGAGAAACACTGTCCTAACCACTGCTGGGGAATTCTGGGAGTTGAAGTCCGGACATCTTCAAGTTGCCAAGGTTGAGAAACACTGTCCTAACCACTGCTGGGGAATTCTGGGAGTTGAAGTCCGGACATCTTCAAGTTGCCAAGGTTGAGAAACACTGCAATAGAGAAATGAGGAAACGCCTTCAGATGATAAGATAATCAAAGAAAAAAATAGATTTTGTGGAAATGGATAGGTTAACATTAAAGATAAAAGGAGATACAGAATATTTTTCCCCTTGGGATTTGTTTTATCGACAGCTAGATAAAGTAGAAGTTGGAAGAATACTACTATATGCGTGCAAAGATATCATCGCTATTACTATGTATGTGTAAAATGACCCAGACAATACACTGTCTATTAAATCCCTACATATGTTAAAGAAAAATGTATAAATAAAAATGCTTTAAGAAAACGAAGCAAGGGGAAGGAATCCGCTGGTCAGGGTGGGTGTTTGCAAAGCCTCTTCAAAAGGGACAGTTGTCCAGGGAAGGGACTGTCCACAGCCACCCGCTTGGTCTCACCGCGCCCATCGTTGCCTTTCAGGCAACGGCACCATCGACTTCCCCGAGTTCCTCACCATGATGGCCAGGAAAATGAAGGACACCGACAGCGAAGAGGAGATCCGGGAGGCTTTCCGGGTGTTCGACAAGGTGAAGCCGGGAATCGGAGCCCTGGGAAGTGGGCAGGGAGGGATGGAAGCAGCTGGATCGAGACCTCTGCCCACCCGGCTTGGGAGGGGGAGGGAAAAGCCCCTTTCCCCCCTCCCTCAACTCAACCTGACGGGAGCTTTTCTCTCCTCCCAGGACGGGAACGGCTACATCAGCGCCGCTGAGTTGCGCCACGTGATGACGAACCTCGGCGAGAAGCTGACGGATGAAGAAGTGGACGAAATGATCCGGGAAGCCGATATTGACGGAGACGGGCAGGTCAACTACGAAGGTTGGTCAAAGGGACCCCGGTGGGTTGGGGGGGGGAGATGCTTCTCAAGCCCCATGGGGCCCTCTCGACCTCTGCATGGGTTGGAGAACCAAAACCTGGAACCGAGGGGGTCCGTTCTAAACCGCTTTAGGACGGGTGGGTTTCAACTCCCAAAATTCCCCAGCCAAGGAATTCTGGGAGTTGAAGTCCACCCATCTTAAAGCGGCCACAGTTGGACCGCTCTACTAGAACACAACACACACAGACAGACAGACAGACAGACAGACAG